CGCCGGCAACTCCTCTTCAATGTAACTTGAATGGAAGCTCCGATTGAAGTACATGCAGGGACAAAATTAAAATTAGACATCATATAAATCAAACAACATGCAGAAAAATACAGAGAGAAAATTACCTTCAGAGGAGATTGCATGTCGAACTACTCTTGCATGTAGCTGAAAATACAAAAAATTAGTACTAATAATCAACCGAAAAATATTAATAATCCACAGCTAAAATACCTTCAGAGGAGGTCAGATGTCGAACTACTCTTCAACCACTTTTGCATGTACCTGAAACTTGAAGAACAAAGTTAGAGAATATTCAAAAAACTAGAAAGATTAAACACAGAGACATCAAACAATGTCAGATCCGTCGCATGCATGGAGAGAGAACTCAAAACTCGTCAAGATCGATCAAGATGCGTGGAGAGAACTCAAGATCCGTCAAGATCCGTCAAGATCCGTCGCTCAAGCATCCACCGGACGATGGAGGGTCCTCTTCTCCGGTGGTAAGAGTTTCAAGAATCATCTCACAACAAGATTCTTGTCACAGCTTTCGGGAGAAGAAGAAGAAGACCCACCACCGTCCGGCGGAGCCTTTGCGAGTCTCGCCGATCTCGTCTCCTTCTCTCACTGTCTCTCTCTCTCTCTCGTTCTCTCTCTCTCGCTCTCTCTCTCTTTTTGTTTTTTCAGGTCGGCTGAAATGGAGTGGAGTCAAGGAAGCGGTACTTAGGGCGAACCGCGGTCTTCATTGGGTCGTCCCGCAAAAAGCCCATCCCGCGAATGACCCATCCCACTAGGCCCGCAATTCTGCGAGATACCAAATCCTAGGCCCAAACCCGCCCCGCCACAGGTTTTAACGGGCCTGTCCCGCGGCCCAAGCCCTACTTTGACATCCCTAGAATGAACTAATCAAACTCTAATTTGTTATTAATCTCTATTTTATATCTAAAAGAAAATACCAAATAAATAATATGTTATGGGCGAATACGTGACAGCACGATGTTTCACAGCCTCACATTCAAGTACTGCGCGTGTGAAAGAGAATTGGTCCCCGAAATATTTGGAGAAAAAAATATTTCATTTCGTTGATGATTAGCTGTTTTTTGTACTATGAGTACTACACATTAGTCCTGCCCAAATAGATAATGAATATAAAGTCAAGCAAATCAGTGGTTTTTAGATTTTCAGTTGCGATCTTAAGCATCTAGTGATACGACACACACAAAATCATTATTATTATTATTTTGAGAAAAATTATTTATTATGTTAGAAAAAAATATATTTATTATCCTAGAAGAAAAGAAATATATTTTCTGAAACTTATAAAATATTTATTATGTTAGACTTTGTATTTAGTTCTTTTATGAGTACGAGGAAGATTCTTTCCCATTTTCTTAAACTCGTATCTTTTCCTGAACGAATTTATGATTTTTTAAATCTCTTAACAAACAGCTTACTCCAAATGGTCCCAAGTAATTGAAATCTTAAATGAAACTAGGAAGGAGATATAAACATAGCAAAAATATTAGACCAAAAAAAACATAGCAAAAATAAGCTGAATTTTGAAAATTTACAGTAATATTTAATCTATCTTGTGGCATGAAACTTGTTATATTCTTGTTTTTGAGGATTAAAATTCAATCTCTTTATCCAAAACTACAATGTCTTCTTATATATATTTGGTGAAGTGAACCGCAAAGCTCAGAAAAGTATGAAGATACAGTTAGCTTGTAGCTTTACTCTTATTCTTGGTCTCTTCCGATATATGCTTTTTGTCTGTTGATGAATGCAATATTCAATCAAATTCCACTAGATATATATATAATCAAAATTATTAACAATGTCGGTCATATCAATCATTAAAATATATAACACTTGATTCATCACATTTCACAAACAAACAAGTGTGACATATGTAAATAACCTCACATTCAAGCTGTAATCTATTTTTATATGTTCATTCAAATCTTCAACAGTCAACTATAAGACTTATAAACATTTTTTTAACTTGAACACATCTCTCAATTAAAATAGTAAATGTATAATATGATTATCATCAACTCAAGAACCGGTAACTATAATAACAGCTTGTAGATCGGCGAGACATTCTGACGGGAGAGAAAGGAAAGTGTTCATAAACAAATCGTCAACAGTCTCAACTCTCGCAACACCGACGAGTCTACACTTTCCTTCTCCGTCCATTCTCTCTCCCCTTCCTCTCTTCTTCTCTCCTATAGACTCCTCCGTCGTCAACACTGTTTTCACCAGCAACGGTGGAGCTCTGTATATCCCACCTCCCGCCGTGAAACAGAACTTAGCTGTGAACTCTAGCTCCACCTTCAAATCATTCAAATGCAAACTGAAGAATTAGCAAAATATAAATATTATTGAGTTGCATTATTATTATGTTGTGCTTTCATAAATTACTTAGAGTTGTATATAGGCTGCGATTTTCTGTGAGTTCGGTTCAATTTCGATTCGATTTTTAGTTTTCGGTTCAGTTCGGTTCGGCAATTGTTTACTTCAATTTTTTTAATACAAAAAACTCATAACTAAACCATACTCAAAATCTGAACCAAACTAATTGAACTAACCAAATTTCAAACCGAACTAGTCGAAATAATTAAATTAACTGAATTTAACCACTATTACAAACTAATCGTAAATTTTATTAAAAAATAAACCAAAAGTATAACAAAATAAAAAGATTCAGAAAATTTTCAAAAATCGAACTAATCGAATACAAAAACGAACCAAACTTTATTTCTGCGTAATGATAAGATTTATGTTGAACCGAACTACCCAAAATTTATGTTGAACCGAACTAACCAAATTGAATTACTCTAATTACTCGAACCCACATGCATGTATTACTCTTATGATATATATATATATATAGTCTAATCCATATCACAATAAACATTTTATATAATATTCTTAGGCTGAACTTCATTGACATTATGTGTTTCACTTAAAGGTTGATAGGTAGTCTATCTTGCTAACCAACTTAAACAAAAAATAACTTTATCATCTGAACATGGAAACTTGTACCTTCCCGGATTCTTGATCAATGGTTCCTTGGAAAACCTCTGGAGCTATGTCGATTTTAAGAAACGGCGGCAATGGAAGGCCAAGAAACTTGGTGGTTTGGTTTGTCAGAGAAGGAATGTAAAGAGTGTCCACATCGAAACTAACAGACAACTCAGAGTTTTGTGTTCTGTTTTTCTCTTCTCCGATGCTCATGGCCGTTCCGGAGCCGGAACCTCCTTGAGGAGAATATTCGAAATCGGGGTATCTTGAGATGCTAAGCTTACCTGTTCCAATAGTCTTGAAACTGACACTGGAGAGGTTACTTGGGAGCTGTGTTGTGTTGGGTTTGGAGCTTAGGGAGTTTGAAACTAGTTTGATTTGGTTTGGTGATTTGTGGTTAAAAGTGTATCTTCTTGGGGATTTGTAGATTGTTGTTAATGAGTTTATTCTTGTTGAAGCCATTGTCTCTCACCTCTTTTTTCTTTTAACAATGTGTTGTTGTGATGAATCAATTTGATTAAGGAAAGACATTGTTGTTTTTTCTGCATGAATCTTATCGTTCAAAAACATGTGGCTAGTTTCTAACGTTCATTCTTCACCTAGCAATTGTATATTTTAATTAATTTGTATAATGGGCTAAAAGAAGTATTACATGCATGGCCCATAAAAAGGTCTATGGGTTAACTTATTCCCATCAGTTTTGGGCTCAATCTATCTGGTTGTAACCGGAAATTTTGTTTCTGGTTCAAGTGAACTTTGGTTCGTGTTGGTGTGTGTACATATTGCACATTGTAATAGTTTTTGTTACCCAATTAACAAGACATGAGTTTTGTTTTTGTAACTGAACGAGAAATAAGTTTATTATTAATGAGATCATTTCCGTTTAATTTATATATAAGAAAAAATTATAGCAAATGGAAACATTCGTCTCAAGTCTCCGAAAAATATTCGTCTTCAAAAAATAATTTTTAGACCCTCAAATTAGTTAAAGAAAATTTTAGCTTAATTTTTTTAAAATTGTCTAGGCCCCAAAATCTCAAAGTCAATTCTACTAGTATGTAACTTGTGAGTTGTAAGAAAATTGAGTATGTGATATTCAATTAAATTTCTTGAATTTTCATCTCCTACCATATATTATACGGATTTACAAACACCTGGACATACACCAAGGATGACTTGGCCATAAGCCCTTTTTATTTGGTGATGCAAACATATTACAAGTGAGTCTCTCTCCACTATCCCGCATCCACTCAAACTCAAACACACACGATTATGCTTTATATATTACAAAAGCTATAGAAAATAATATCACTCTATTAGATTATGATGCAATAAAAAACATGTGTGAATCTATCAATCAGATTGGCCATATTAAAATATATAATCCTAGATAACTGACCAAATCTAAAACATCCACGTACGGCTAGGCTAGCATATATCCCAATTTTTTATTTTTTATAAATTGCAATATTGAAACATTTTTACAAGAATTACACAGATTATTAGTATAATCTTGTTGACATCCTTACAAAACAAATGTAAATCATCATTTTACAGGTCATCTTTAAAGATAGTCTCTTTAAAACAATCATGGAAGCATAGTCTAGGCTGTAAATTTTACGATAGATTGTTCCATTCAATTTATATTTCAATCTACATGTTCCTTTTTACATTTTGTATCCGTCATATTTAAAACCTATATGAATCTCGCAGACTATTAACCTTTTTAGGTCGGCAAATATTGAAACCTTTTTGATTCATTACGCAGCCAATCAATCCTTTTGACATGCTTACATGTAAAACAAGACACCATTATCCTTTTACAGGTCATCAGACTTTATGTACTGATACCGACAATCTCCTAAAATTTTTACTATGAAAGTATTACTTTTAGCTAGGGCTGTCAATATTGCGGCAGGTTATTGCATGTATAACCTATATACTCAATCCAAAAAAACCCAAAAAAATGAATATCGCCAAGCTGTATAAAAATGAAAGCTAAATAAGGGGTTGTTGGAAATTAAAAAATTTCGAACTCTTAAAAAAAGCCACAACCATTTTAAAATAAAATATTTTATGTTATTGATACTTTAATAATGTTTCAGTCGCGAATATATGCATATGAAAACCCAGACGAGTTAATTTAATTGGTAACACCTCGGGCATTTGTTTGAGAGGTAATTAACAAGTTCGGGTTTCGAGTGGGGAGGAATGTCTAGGGCCCTAAAAAAGTATAGATGTATGCTGCCTCTAGGTTCGGGGGATTAAGGCCGAAGGCCCGAACCCAATCCTGACATCCTGATTTACAAAAAGAAAAAACAAAAAAAAATGCATACGAAACAGTTAATTGGATGTTTAATATTATAAGAGTGAAGACTTTCTGCCATTGTGGGAAATATAAGCCTATAGAACTGGGACTGCTTTTGTAGAATATGGACCGATCTGACTTTGTCAAAATTCATCTTAACCGTTGGTCCTCGCTCCTATGATAAGAGTTACTAATTTTCCGCACGCCATTAACGATAAAGATTCCCATATTTTTCATCGTCAATGATTTCCTAATCTCAGCCATACCTTCCCCAACACTACCGTGAAAAAGATGATGTGCTTTCACCGTTTAACGCCACCCTAGCAAGATGCTTTTTATGCTAACCTCAAAAAGATTATATTTCCTCATCCCATTATTATTTTTTTTTATCAGTTATGGAGTTTAATAGTCTCTATCATCATTCATAGTTTTTTTCGTTAACACATGTTATCGGTTAGATGAATCAGATCCACCATCTGCTCTATGTATGTGTTAGTTAGACGTTTCTTTTTCACTTTTTTTTTATTTTGCAAGGTTTTTACAACGTACTTCTTACGTTATTGCTGCAAGGGTCAAGATTAGGAGAATTAGAGACTTTGCTACGCATTTATCACTATATGTAAATTTAGTAAAAGATGCGATGAATAGCCGTATGTATAGGAGAAATACATCTTTCTTTTCTCTGTGTTTTTTTTTTAAATTTCTTTCTCCGAACTATCATAACATGTTAGGCTGCTCTCCCTCTTCGATGATTCCTAACAAAATTTAAATCTAATATATAGTTTAACACTTTCGATAAAATTATAGAAACTCCCAAATCATCTGCTTTCGTTAAATGTTATGATTGGAATATACCGACAGGTAAAGGACAAACGATAAGATGACAATTGGCTATTTTTTAAAAAAAATCAGAATATGAATAATAGAGTCGAAAATACGTTGACGAAAAACCAAAATATTGATAAAACTGGTGAACCACTTGTTTAAAATGAATAGATTTGAGCATTTGAAAGTCATGCATACTATCTTGAGGTTGATTAAGCAATCAAAAGGTAGTTGGAACGTTGGCTTTTGTGGAAGTAAATAGTACTATAACTTATTAACTTATATGTGACATTCAATGGCGGCTACGTTTCTTAAAACATCCAATTCTCCATATTCCCTTGCTAATACGATCCTAAACTTAAGCTATAAATCGCCATCTGTCCTTTTTTATTTATACGTTTCATTTTTAGCAATAACATATATATTCAATGTTTTCACCAAGAGTGTTGGCTGATATAGACACAAATTTATAATACTATATACTTAAAAGAATAAAACAAAATAAACTCATATATAATGACTCAGAGAATAGTTAAGAAAGTGGCTAAAAAGTAACGTCTCATTTAGTGTGTCACGACCGTTGGCCTGCACCACAAGAGACCAAGTCTCTAACCCAACCAACACAACACAACACATAACCCCCGTAACTAAAAGACTATATTACCCTCTACTCTCTTACCAATATAAATACACCCACTCCAGCGCAATTTAAAGATACATCTAATTTTATATTCAATCCCAAAACGAAGAGTTTTATAGTAAAAAGACATGAGAGGTTCAAGAACAGCATCTTCAGACATGAGTGCTTGGTGTTCTGCTGTTGTGTTGTTGTCTTTGATACTTTTGTTATCTGTTCGTGAGAACAACGCTTCTAGCTCGATCAGAGGGTCTCAATTCTCAGAGAAACCTTGTGAGGAGATTTACGTTGTAGGAGAAGGTGAAACGCTTCATACCATAGGTGACAAATGTGGCGACCCGTTTATTGTTGAGCGAAACCCGCATATTCATGACCCGGATGATGTCTTCCCGGGTCTTGTTCTAAGGATAGCACCTTTTTACTTCTCAAGAAAAGTGTAAGATACAAAGAGTTATTTTTGTTTTTCTTTAAATTTTTTTTGAAGCATACTTTTTTCCTTTGTAATTAGTATGAATTTATGTATATACTAAAAGAATTCCGAAACAATTACATATATTTGAAAGAAACAGAGCAGAAACAGAGTATTCAGTGAGTTTGCTTATTCATATATTGAGGTGAAAAATGTCCATTTGGACATGTTTTAGGTGTAAGTGATATTGGTAAATACTTTGTGGGTTTAAGTGAAAATTTTAATAAATAATTAAGTCGCTGACTAATGCAATATCGAAACGCCAAGGTAGGAAAAGTCAACGAATTTGTACAAACTGACAGAATTAAAAGTGTTTTGTATAGTAAAATCTAAACTTAACATTTAAACCTTTGCTATTCCCTTTTAAATTGTTCTTCCACTTGCTGAAGACGAATTTATGCTTATAAACAAAAGAATGAAGTTAACTGAAATAACATTATTTTGACGAAGTATTATATATTGATCATCAATGTTAATTGTGTACATATGTGAATGATAATAATTTTGGCAAAATGCGGTGATCTCTTTTATCGCCATTGTATCAAATTTTCAAGAGTAGTGCGAGTTTCGGTTAATCGAAGTTGTATACAAACTTCATTTATATATCTCGAAGCTTCATGCATGATTGTCTCTCATGCAACAACCCCAAAGAAGGGTTTAACCAAAAAACCTAAGAAAAATCGTCTAAAAGCTTTTCGCAAATATGCTATTAAAAAATATTTTGCATTAAATATAAAACTGCCTAAATTTCTAGTCTTTTTTTTTTGCTTTGACTAGTAACTAATAACGACACACATAGACTAAATATGTCGCCATCTCCAATAAATAGCTTCTAAACTCAACACAAAAATTTTACAATATAAATTTAAAACCACATAATTACTGTTCATGTCGACATAGTCTCTTCAATATTACACAACTTCCCATTTTTAGGGCCTAACATTTATAACCATATCAAACAAAAATATTGTATAAATAAGCAGGCTGAGTTGTTCACTGTTACAAATCACACAAAGGAAGAGAGAAAGAAAAAACCCTAACGTTTACTCCAAAGCCAAAGATGAGTCGCTTCCATAAAACCCTAATCTCAGCTTTCGTTTTCTATTTGGTTATTCTACCGCTTCTAGTCTCAGCCACGGAGGCAGTAAACGAATGTGGTGGCTCCAAGGGAGGAGCCTCTGCTGGGGAGAAGGCAACGGTTCTTAAGTACAAGATCGGAGCCTTCTTCTCCATCTTAGTAGCCGGAGTGTTAGGAGTCTGTTTACCTATCTTCGGCCTCAAGTCAGAGAGCAACTTCTTTATGTTCGTCAAGGCATTCGCCGCCGGAGTAATCTTAGCCACTGGTTTCGTCCATATTCTTCCAGATGCAACCGAGAGTCTCACGAGTCCATGCATCGGAGAAGAGTCACCATGGGGAGATTTTCCCATGACGGGTTTAGTTGCCATGGCTGCGGCGATTCTGACCATGTTGATTGAGTCTTTTGCTTCAGGGTATTTGAATAGGTCTCGGTTGGAGAATGAGGCTAAGACCTTGCCGGTGAGTACTGGTGGAGATAGTGAGGAGAATTCTCATATTGGCTCGGCTCATACTCATGCCTCACAAGGACATTCTCATGGCTCTCTTCTTGTCCCACAAGATGATCTGAGGAAAAAGATTGTAACTCAAGTAAGTAAAATCACAAAACCCTAATTGCCAAAATCCGAGCCCATGCATAATCAAGAGAAGCATAATTTGTTTATGATCCCAATTTTTTTAAAAAAGAAAAAAATTACATAAACATAGATCCTCAGATCTGTAAAAAAAAATTATTTAACTATGGCTGTCTCTGCATATATTTTTTTTTGTTAAGATTTAAAGAAACTATTGATTATGAATAAAACCATTTTGCTATAAATTCAAAGTTTTCTTTAGATAAGACACACTTGCTAATTAGTATTTGATCAGATGTTCTTTTATTTTCTCATGGTGCTAGATACTGGAAGTGGGTATTGTGGTTCACTCAGTGATAATAGGAATATCTCTAGGAGTGTCTCCGAGTGTAAGCACAATAAAGCCTCTCTTAGCTGCAATAACTTTCCATCAACTGTTTGAAGGTTTTGGTCTTGGTGGTTGCATCTCTGAGGTAATCTTAAAATCTTTATATCTCTCCTATTTATGAGTCTATAAACTGAATGATGATTAAATTAACACCTAAAGTTCGTGTTATTGTGTAGGCCAAATTTAAAGTTAAGAAAATTTGGATTATGGTGTTGTTCTTTGCACTTACGGCACCAGCAGGGATTGGAATTGGTATTGGAGTCGCTGAGATATACAATGAGAATAGCCCAATGGCACTAAAAGTGTCTGGTTTTCTTAACGCTGCAGCCGCTGGAGTCTTGATTTACATGGCGCTTGTTGATTTGGTAGCTCCAATATTCATGAACCACAAAGCTCAGAGTAGCATGAAGATACAGTTAGCTTGTAGCTTTTCTCTTATTCTTGGTGCTGGTTTGATGTCTCTTCTAGCTGTTTGGGCTTGAAGTTATTTGGGCTAGCAAATTACACATGTTTTAATTACTTGAGCATTATTAGAAAAACTAGGTAAGAAACCAGTGCGATGTCGTACGAAGACTCATTTTATAAAAATAAATTAGAGTTTGATCCGTTCGTCCGGGCGAGTGTTTGTTTTAAAATTTATAGTAAATATTGTCTTCATAATTAATAGCGTTTATATTAACATTTACAATATAATTAATTGTATATTATTATATTTCTAAAAAATATAGTGTGAATGCAGTAGTTTAATTTACTGTTTATCATACCATATTTTTTTATGATATATTTATTTTATTAGTTCTGAGTTGGAGTTTTAGAGTAGATACAATATTACATTTTTAAATACCATTTGCATCAGTAATTCTATACTAATAAATTTGGTGCTGTCAATTCTAATTAAATTTAAATTCTTAATAATTATGTATAAATTCATTTTATATTTTTAATATTCAAAATAAGTATGTACACTAATAATTTATGTTTAAATAGGATTAGTTATTTTGGTTTATAGTTTATAGTTTACAGTTTTGTATGGCTTAACCCACATATTTCAAAATAATTAGAAAATTTAATACTTTTATTTTAATGCATAGATGCATCCAACACCGATATATGATGAAGATCAAGGATGTCTGACACATTTGTTGTCCAAGTTTCTCTAGAATATAGAGATTTCATAGGATTTTTTATTTGATTTATGTGGTATATGAAGTTTTATTAAATTACTCGTTGGAAATTTATAACTGATGATCATGTACCATAAAAATTAATTTTTGGATACATTCGTATAAAATTTTAATGTGGCCAGATATTTTAAACAACACTTGAGAGGTTAAATTTAAGTATAAATATAAATTTTTTTGATCAACTAGTATAAATAACATTTATCAGAAAAACTCGATCTATCGTAGGGAACCACATATTTTAAGAAAAATTAGAAAATATAGAGTTTTTTTTTTGTATTTAGGCATAGGTACATCCAGCACTAATATAGGGTGAATATCAAAGGGTTTTGATACCTTAATTGTCTAAATTTCTCTAGAAAATGGAAATTTCATAGGGTTTAATTCCTTGATTTTGGTGGTATACGGAGAATTTTATTAAACTCCCCGGTTGAAAATAGAACTGATGCCCATGTACCATGACCATACGTTTAGTAAAGCATATAAATTTTGAATATGAATAGGTATTTTCAAACAAAACTAAAGAGGAATATATATAACCTTTATCGAAAAACTCGTTAAACCACATATTTCAAGATCAATTAGAAAATAGGGAATTTTTTAAACCATAGCTGCATCATGCACTGATATAGTATGGAAATTAAAGAGATCTGAGATCTTAGGTGTTTATATTTCTCTAGAAAAGAGTTTTTCTAGGGATTAGTCCTCCTATTCGGTGGTATATGAAGTTTAAATAAATTACTCGTTGGAAAATTAGATATGATGCACATATACCATGAAAATAAGTTTAGTATACATATATATAAATTTATAGTGTGGTTAAGTATTTTTAAACAACACTAAAGACCTAAATATTATAGATAGCATTTATCGGAAAATTTAATTTTTTTGTAGGGATTAACCCACATATTTCAAGATAAAATAGAAAATATGATATTTTTGTTTTAATGCATAACTGCATCATGCACTGACATAGTATAAAGATTAAAGAGGTTGAGACCTTTGGTGTCTCCGTTTCTCCAGAAAATAGAGATTTTTATAAGGGGTTAGTCCACTAAATTAAATGGACTATAAATTTTTATTAAATGACCCATTAAAATACTAGAAACGATGTCCATGTAACATGAAATAAAGTTTAACATACATAATATAAATTTATAATTTGATAAGGTACTTTTTAATTAACAAGAAAGAGCTTAAACTTTAGTGTATAACATTTATCGAAAAACTCGTTAAACCACATATTTCAAGATCAATTAGAAAATAGGGAATTTTTTTAAACCATAGCTGCATCATGCACTGATATAGTATGGAGATTAAAGAGATCTGAGATCTTAGGTGTTTATATTTCTCTAGAAAAGAGTTTTTCTAGGGATTAGTCCTCCTATTCGGTGGTATATGAAGTTTAAATAAATTACTCGTTGGAAAATTAGATATGATGCACATATACCATGAAAATAAGTTTAGTATACATATATATATATATATATAAATTTATAGTGTGGTTAAGTATTTTTAAACAACACTAAAGACCTAAATATTATAGATAGCATGTATCGGAAAATTTAATTTTTTTGTAGGGGTTAACCCACATATTTCAAGATAAAATAGAAAATATGATATTTTTGTTTTAATGCATAACTGCATCATGCACTGACATAGTATAAAGATTAAAGAGGTTGAGACCTTTGGTGTCTCCGTTTCTCCAAAAAATAGAGATTTTTATAAGGGGCTAGTCCACTAAATTAAATGGACTATAAATTTTTATTAAATGACCCATTAAAATACTAGAAACGATGTCCATGTAACATGAAATAAAGTTTAACATACATAATATAAATTTATAATTTGATAAGGTACTTTTTAATTAACAAGAAAGAGCTTAAACTTTAGTGTATAACATTTATCGAAAAACTTGATTTTTTTTGTAGGGGTTAACCTACATATTTCAAAATAAATATAAAAATTTGCTACTTTAATTTGAATGCATAGATGCATCCGACACAGATATAGGATGAAGATCAAGGATGTCTAACACCTTTGTTGTCCCAATTTCTCTAGAATATAGAGATTTCATAAGGTTTGTTTCTTTGCTTTACGTGGTATATGAAGTTTTATTAAATTACTCGTTGGAAATTTATAACTGATGATCATGTACCATGAAAATTAATTTTGGATACATTCATATAAAATTTTAATGTGGCTAGATATTATAAACAACATTTAAGAGGCTAAACTTAAGTACAAATAACATTTATCAGAAAACTCGATCTTTCGTAGGGGTTAACCCACATATTTTAAGAAAAAATAAAAAAATATGGAGTTTTTGTATTTACACTTAGGTTCATCCAACACTGGTATATGATGAATATCAAAGGGTTTTGAAATCTTAGTTGTCCAAATTTCTCTAGAAAATAAAGATTTCATAGGCTTTAATTTAGTGATTTTGGTGGTATATGAAGAATTTTATTAAAATCTCCGGTTGAAAATTAAAACTGATGCTCATGTACCATGACCACACGTTTAGTATATTAATATAAATTTTCAATGTGGTTAGATATTTTTAAACAAAACTAAAGAGGCATATATAACATTTATCGAAAAACTTGTTAAATCACATATTTCAAGATAAATTAGAAAATATAGATTTTTTTTAATTCCTTTCTACATCAAGCACTGATATAATATGAATATTAAATAGGTTTGAGATCTTAGGTGTTTCAGTTTCTCTTGAAAATAAGAGTTTTCCTTGGGGTTAGTCCACTTATTCAGTGGTATATGAAGTTTAAATAAATTACTCGTTAAAAAATTAGAAATGATGTCCATATACCACGAGAATAAGTTTAGCATACATATATATATATATATAAATTTATACTGTGGTTAAGTATTTTAAACAATACTAAAGAGCTAAATATTATAGATAGCATTTATAAGAAAATTCAACATGAAGTTTTATTAAATTATCCATTAAAATATTAGAAATGATATCTATGCATCATGAAAATAATTTTAATATACATTAGTATAAATTTATAATTTGATAAGGTATTTTCAATAAACAAGAAATAGCTTAAACTTCAGTGTATAGCATTTATCGAAAAACTCAATTTTTTGTAGGGGTTAACCCATAGATATCAAAATAAATTAAAAAATTTGATACTTCTTTAACGCATCGATTCATCCGACACATATATAGGATGAAGATCAATGATGTTAGACACCTTTGTTGTCCCAATTTCTATAAAATATAGAGATTCCATAGGGTTTGTTTGTTTGATTTACGTGGTATATGAAGTTTTATTAAATTACTCGTTGGAAATTATAACTGATGATCATTTAACATGAAAATAAATTTTGGATACATTCGTATAAATTTATAATGTGGCTAGATATTTTAAAAAAAATTAAGAGGCTAAACTTAAGTACAAATAACATTTATTAGAAAAACTCGATTTTTCGTAGGTGTTGTCAACCCACATATTTTAAGAAAAATTAGAAAAATATAAATTTATTATATTAAGGCATAGGTGCATTCAGAACTGATTTAGGATGGATATCAAAGGGTTTTGATACCTTAGTTGTGCAAATTTCTCTAGAAAATAGATTTCATAGGGTTTAATTCATTGATTTTGGTGGTATATGGATTATTTTATTAAACTCCCCGGTTGAAAATAGAATTGATTCCCATGTACCATGACCATAGGTTTAGTACATTAATATAAATTTTGAATGCGGTTAGGTATTTTTAAGCAAAACTAAAGAGGCCTATATATAACATTTATCGAAGAACTCGTTAAACCACATATTCAAGATATACTAGAAAATATGGAATTCTTTTTAATTCATATATGCATCATGCACTGATATATTATTAAGATTAAAGAGGTTTGAGATCTTAGGTGTTTTTATTTCTCTAGAAAAGAAGAGTTTTTCTAGGGGTTAGTCCACTTATTCGGTGGTATATGAAGTTTAAATAAATCACTCGTTGAAAAATTAAAAATGATGCCCATGTACCATGAAAACAAGTTTAGCATACACATATATATATATATATTTATAGTGTGTTTAAGTATTTTTAAACAACACTAAAGAGCTAAATATTATAGATAACATTTATCAGAAAATTTATTTTTTCGTAGGGGTTAACCTAAGATAAATTAGAAAATCTAGTATTTTTTTTTTAATAAACAGTTGCATCATTCACTAAAATAGTATAGAGATTAAAGAGGTTTGAGACCTTAGGTATCCCCGTTTCTCTAGAAAATAGAGATTTTAGAGGAGTTTAGTCCACTAAATTA